GTAATGCTTGTAAAGTATTGATTTTCAAAAAAATGAAGGCATTGATTTTCAAAAAATGAAGGCATTGATTTTTAAATTTTTAATATTGTCAAATTTTTGGAAAATGGTCCTACCGTTTTAGAGTCAATGTGTAGTTGTATTTCTTATTAACAACTTTGTAGTTAGGTCGTGTAGGTCTGACAATGATGTAAGAATAATTTTGTCCGATAAAAAAAAATAATAGTACAATGTTTGTAAAGTAATGTACCATTATAGAAATACATACAAAAATATTAATACCATAATTACCTAAATCATTTCAATAATCCAAAAGGGTAATTGAAATATTGAGTCTTGTTCTAAATAATCAAATGAAGGTTAATTAAACGAAAACAACAAAGAAAAAAAAAACTTAACTTAATTTTTTTTTAAATGCAAGAAAATGATTCTCAAGGTTCCCGATTTATAATCTTTAATGCTCAACTTTGAATGCTAGGTATGTAGTCAGGCTAATTATTTGACGAAAGTTTATGTTAAATTTTATACTGTATTTTTAATACATTTTAACATATTCTTAGTATATATTTAATAATTATGGCAACTCTGATTGGGATGAGGTTCGAACCTAAGATCTTTCTCATAGAAATTAATGAATAAGTTAATAACAATAAATAGTTAATGGAATATTTCGTTACTAAAGTTTATACTGACGAAATGCAGAGTTATTTAAGGGAAGAAAATAATATAATAGAGGGTAAATAAAGAAAATCATAAAAAAAAATACTAAAATTAAAATAATATGAACCATTTATTTCAACTAACAATTACACCGAACATTTTTTTTTTTGTTCATTAAATTTATTGGCTCGAATTAGATTTGTTAATATTTTTTAACTTGTTCCGACCCGTCTTACGGTGAGACGGTCTCACACAAGTTTTTGTCCTTTTTATAGATTGTGGGCAGGTATTATTTAGAGAATTATTATGACTTTTGATTCATTAATAAATGCAATAACTTTTTAACTGTTATGTTTACCAAATTTAGATACTTAACTTTTTGATTAATCAAATTTAATCTAAAATGCCTAAAATATTTTTACTTTTTCGACATTTCTCCAAACTCCGGCCACCTTTTATTACTGAGGGAAATTCTGATTATTCTGAATTAAATTTCATCATTTCAAAAAAATCATAGCACAAAAATTGATTTAATTATTAATTATTAATTAAAAGTAAAATGACTTGACATTTCATCAAACTTTATCTTTATGTAACTGAATCTAATTTATAGTTAAAAATTGAATGTAAAATGTCATTATTGCAGCTAATAGATTAAAAATAGAGTAAATTTTATAATGCCTAAAATACATTATATTTACTAGGTTTAAGGACATTATTATTCTCTGCATTATTTTGAAATATTCAATTTAGTCACCGTATTGTTATTTAAAAATAAAATAATTAGGTAAAATTATTAATATCGTCATTTAGACCATTAAGTATGTTTATGTTGATAAATTGCATGGCGTTGAGGTGACTATCACATGACTAATTAATAATGCAGTAAGATACTCAGCAATTGTAGTGTGAGAATTACACTCAAATTCAAATGTGGTATATTTCTTGTGGACATTAAAAACTAGTCCTCTCACATAATGAGTCACGTGATTTACTCTTTTATTATCTTGTCATACTGAGATGTGGAGACTCTGGAAGCGAGGGAATTTCACTTTTTTGTAAGCAATAATACGCTAAAATAAAATATATTTCAAATGTCACTATCAAAGAAGTTGACCTCAGAGTAGCAACACCACTTGTGAATTTTGACAAAGTTTTTGTAGATGAAACAACAATAATGGGATTTTTAAACAAATGAGAGGGGGGGGGGGGGGGGGATAGGGGGTGTTTTTGAAGTTTTTTTCTTGCAAGATTAATTTTTTTATGTGCCCATATTTGGAGAGAAATATGCGCAAAACGCATGTCTTAAGCACTTTTACCGCTCAGCTACACACGCCATGCTGGGCGAGTGATTCCTATTTCTCTTTTTTAGCTTTTGTTGGGTTTTTATTTTTTATTTTTTTTTTCTTCCCTCCTCTTCTCTCTCCTAATTGGACCTATAATAAAAAACAAGAAAAATTATATATTAATGAGGTTGATAGTGTATAAACTAAGCATTTTCGTTTGTAGTTTTTTAGGGATTTTTTAGTTGAGCTAGTTGAGAGAGAAGATAATTTCGGAAGAGAGAGAGAGGAGAAGAAAGAGAAAAAAAAAAAAAAAAAAAAAAAAAAGAAACTTGAGCTAATGCAGGTTTCTCGAGGGCTTAAACCAATATATATATTTTTGACACTCATTTTACTTTTTTTTTTTTTTTCCTTTTTTCCTCCATTTTTCTCTTTCATTTGTGGTTTGAAAGAACTTGGAAAAGACATTCACTATTAGGCATTAGCCTTAATGAACTATTTTTATATATTTAAAATGTCACATTATTTGTATGGACAATTTTACAATGTCATGAATATATTTACTATGTTTTTTGAAATGTGCTTTATTGTATTTTCTTTTATATATTTCTAATAAAATGATAACATAACTTCATAATACTATAATTATGAACATTATAAAAAATTATTATTTCTTATTTATAGTACTAATAGTTTTCAATCTCTTAAAATTTTCCATAAAAGAATTCTTCAGAATGATCAAGGGACTTTCATCGATGCCAAGTGTATGTCGTGGAAAGGAGTTATGCCTTGGGGGTCCTTTCCTCCCCCCATTTTATTAATATTATATATAGTATTAATTTTTTGTAAAAAATATTATATAGAATATTAAAAGTTTATTGTTCATTTAAAATATGGAATAATATTTGATGCACCCGTCGGTGTATAGATGCTATACACCAGCAGTGAATGAGGAGGTGACACATCATTAAAAAATAAAATAATATTAATCAGGTCCTTTTTTGCAAAATATCTAAGACTTGAATTTTTGTAAGAAACTCTTTTATTTCTAATTAACAAAATACATCTACTTTCCTAAACATATTTATTACTTACTAATTATCTAATTATTAATAATTTTGAATTTATATTAATATCTCACCGATGAACCTGTTAAAAGGATTCTTTTTTAATTTGAAAATCTGTTAAAAGCATTCTAATATACAAATAAATTTCTATTCTTTTTTGGACACTGAAATTAAAGAATTCTAAATTAAGAATTGTAATTGATATGTAAAAATAAATTTCTAAATTATTATATTTATAATATTGAATTTTTTAATTTTAATTAATAAAAATCATCGAATTTCCTATATCTATCTTAACTCTTAAATCTATTTAAACCCCTAAACTCCTAAATTTAAATTACAACCTTAGTCACTATTAAAAACAATTGCAACATCTTGTAAGAATATATATGCATAAAAATCCAAATTTTCCCTGTCAAACTTGGGTGAGATTATTGTTTCTCTACCTTTGTACATTGGATTATCAATTAGTGGATTGGACGCCTCTGTGATCGTCCCCCAGATGTAGATACACCCTGTATCGAACTGGGTAAACATCTTGTGTGTTGTTTTTGCTGTCATCCTTAGTTTTCTCTTTCTGCGAACAAATCAGCTATATATCTAACTGACTGATATCATCGTTGATTCTGTCAGTCTAATCCATCAGTCATTTAATCCTATTAATATCCTTAAATTGAGGAAATGCAAAATTACATTGTTCGTTTAAAATATATGGCCCTCTCCCACTTAAATTAATCTTACAGGCTAAGTTATCAACTTCTTCATTTTCTCAACTCCAGTTGTCTCCTATTTCAAATTATATCTTTCCTATATTGTTGATTCACATTCAAATTAAGCCTCATTTAACCTACCTATTAGTTTCTCTCTCTAAAACCATACATATATACACATATACGATATAACAAGATAATTTGTTATTATTAAAATCTATGCATATTTTTCAAGTTAATTTTTATTCTTCATTTTTGTTTTTTTTTTTTTTTGTTTTGTTTTTGTTTTTTGTTTTTTTTTTCTAACTACTTGTTTGGTTAATTTTTGTTTCATATTCTATTGTATATTTTAAATAGTTGTTTTGTTTGATTCTAAATAATGGATATCACGGTGCATTTATTTAGTTAATTATGTAAATTTGTAGTTATGTGATAAATTTTATATTTAATTAAACATGCATAATAATGTAAAAATTATGTAGTATATGTATTTGAGAAAATAATTGTTATTAAGTTATGTTGTGAAGATAGTAGTTTTCAAGAAATAATCAATAGTCTTTTAAAACATGCGGAAATAATCAATAATTTTTTAAAACATGCGTGAATGTTTTTATTCTTTCAACCGTACAAAGCAATATGCATTGAAAATCATATTACAAAATAATTTAATATAAATTCAATTATAATTGATTTATTCGAAACTTTATTGAATTTGTAAGGTATGTAATGATTATTTTGAAATATGTTAACTGGATATCAATGTATTTGATTTAGTACTTCAAGTCTTCAACTGTAGTTGCCCTCTTGCACTATTCAATCCTTGCTCTGTCCCTGTGTTCGTAGTCTGAAAATTGGAGAATCACTTTCCAAAATAAAAGGGGAATCATATTTTAGAAAAATAAGTGTAGTTTCCTTTGTCAAATATTTGTTTTCCTTTGGCAATTATTTTTCACTCTTTACCATATAAAATCATTTTTGAAATTTCCAAACAAATATTGAATGGTTGTTTATTTCAACAACAAAAAAAGAGTATTTAACATTTAACAGAATATTTAGCTTAGGTGTGAACACTCACCCAACAGGTCGCGTGAGAGCGGGCACTGGTCCAAATTGAACCTCGCTGCCACCCTGCCTGCCGTGGCTATCAAGAAAATCAAACCCTACCCTTCCCTTTCCTCTCTCTCTCTCTCTTTCCTTTCTCTGGCCCCAAAACTCTCAGCACTATAGATAAAATCATAAAATTAGTCACCGCCCATTACCAAATCCCCAACCCTAAAACAACAATGAGAAACAAAGGTAAAGTTCACCCTTCTCCCTCATCTTCCTCTTCCTCTGATGAACCTCTCTCCGTTCTCAACCTCTTACCGGCTGCTATTCTCACTCTCACCTGTGTCCTCTCTCTCGAGGACCGCCAAGTCTTGGCTTACATGATAACAAGGTCCATGAAAGCCACCACAAACCCACCCCAAGAGAACCCCAAAAGGTCAGTGGCTCACAAGCCCCCTCTCTTCCACTGTGACTGCTTCGACTGCTATACCAGCTTCTGGTTCCGCTGGGACTCCTCCCCCAACCGCGAGCTCATTCATCAAGCCATTGAAGCCTTCGAGGAGCATTTGAACAGCGGCGAGTACCCCAAGAAGAACAGACACAGGAAGAAAGAGAAAATGGGCCGCCGCGGGATGGAGAGCCCTCCGCCGGAGACGCCGCCTATGGTTGAAGAAAACAAAGAACCACCCGCCCCGGAACCTGGGAAATGTGAGGGAGTATTGCCGGCGGAAGACGATGATGTTGCAGCTCCGCCGTCGGCGACGGCGGGTCGTGTAGCGGCGGCGAATAGCCACAAGGGCTTCGCCAGAAAGGTGCTGCCGGACGTTTTAGGGGTATTCAATTCCCGTTTATGGAGCCTTTGGAGTCCGAATCTGTAAAAATAAAAATAAAAATAAAAAATCTGCTTTTCTTTTTTTTTTTTTTTTAAAATTTCTTATTTAGAACCCCAAAAAATGTTATTAATCGTTGGCAGGTTACAGTCTTCCCAACACGTAATGTTGATTGTTTACTTTATTTTATTTTTTATTTTTGAAGCTTATTTTGGATTCCTTTTCTGGTTTTGGTGGATGGGTTATTGGCTGCCAGTTGGGAAGTCATTTTCCGGTGAGGATTTCTTTAATTGTGGTCGGAATTGTTTTCCACAAATGCAAGCAATATGTGCTTCTCCAGTTTATTTACTCTTTTGCTCTATCAATTATATGATAAAAAATTCTGTCTTTATACCTCGTTTGTAACGTCACTTTTCAAAGTTTACTACATTTTGGCTTATTACTCTTTTGGTTGAAGAATTTTTATGCTATCAATTTTAATTTTTTGCACTCATACCTAACTTTTTACCACTCAACATATTTAATAAATAGTGCAGAACATATTAAATTAAAGATTAAAAAGTAAAATTTTTAGTGAAATGGAGCAATATAAAGCGATGAGAAGTGATGGCAGGGGTGAACGCTGCTCCGAAAAGGAGGTGGGCAGAGATTAATCTGGTTGGCTTGGGAACTGATGGGCGATACGTGGTTATAGAGGACAGTTCAAGTAAGCTTAAGCTTGCGTTGGCGGGATGTGTGACTTAGGCGTGCCCAGTGGGTGCACCAGGGCGCGCATTGCATTGTGCGTCCTGATGCAAAACGACATTGTTTTAGGGTTTTTTTTTTTTTTTTTTTTTGAATTTTTACTGTCTTGAGTTGACGATTAATTTTCTTTAAAAAAAAAAAGTTAATGTTCAAAAATGTACATAATTATATATTAGAATACACATAATTGTATACATGAATGTACATAATTATATAACAAAATACACATATATATTTTTTAAAAATTTTTTGATTCGGGTGTATATAATTATATAAAAAATATATACATAATTGTATAAAAAATGTACATAATTGTATAAACAAATAGACATAATTGTATAAACAAATACACATAATCACGTGAACTCCCTACTGCGCCTCCCAAAACGACGTCGTTTTGGGAGGCGCGGGGCACAGTGCTATGTGCGTCGTGGTGCAGGGTATAACGATTGTGCCCAGAGCAATGAGTATGACACGAAAAATTTGAACCTGACAAAGTGGGCTGATAAAATTGTCATTGGGCCAATGTTGAGATCGATTATTGGGGCCAATTTAATCAATCGTTATACCCTGCACCACGGCGCACATACAACTGTGCGCCCCGCGCGTCCCAAAACGACGTCGTTTAGGTAAGTTATGTAGGGGGTTGGCGTGATTATGTGTATTTGTTTATACAATTATGTGTACTTGTTTACACAATTATGTAAATTTTTTATACAATTATGTACATTTTTTTTATACAATTATGTATATCCGAAACAGGAAATTTATGTGTATTATGTTAAGAGTTTATGTGTATTATGTTAAAAGTTTATGTGTATTATGTATTATGTTAGATTATGTGTATTATCTTTTAAAAAAAGAAGTATGCATATTTTGTTATACAATTACGTACATTCATGTATACAATTATGTGTGTTCTAGTATAAAATTATGTACATTTTTAAACATGAGATTTTTTTTTTAAAAAAAAAATTAACCGTCAACACAGGGTAGCGAAATTTCAAAAAAAAAAAAAAAAAAAAAAAAATCTGAAACGACGTCGTTTTGCATCAGGGCGCACAATGCAATGCGTGCCCTGGTGCACGATATAAATTGGCAAATTATTGTGTGGACCATGGTCCACACAATGTTATGTGGATCAAAACAAAAAGTACATTTTTAATATACTAAATGTACATTATTTTTGTACTGAATGTACATTATACAATATAATGTACACTTAAAACAAAAATAATGTACATCCCCTGAATACAATGTACATTATTTTTGTACTGAATGTACATTATTTTACAGTAGACAAAATATGGTCCATACAACTTGTAGAGACCATGGTCCATACAACTTGTATGGACCATGGTCCATACAATAATGATTGATATAAATTGCCCAATTTAATTAATTGGATCACATAAATTAAATTAATCTGATTAGCCCATTAAATTTGGTTTGAGCTAATGGATTAATTAATCAATTGTTCAAAGTCTATTTAATATTTGAATTTGAATTATAATTATAATTTAAATATAATATAATTTTATTATATTTGAATTAAATAATTATAATTTAATTTGAATTTGAACAGATTAATAATGAACCTAAACTTGATTTTGGGCAAGGTTCATTTTCTTAAATAAATAAATAATTAATTACTTAATTAAATGTGGAGTTTGTTGAGGAATGTTGGTTAGACTTTTACTATAAATAGAGCATTCATTTTCATTCCAAAACACAATTAAAGACTGGAAGAGTTGAGAGCATTTGAAGAGCTTGAAGACACGTGAAAACTTGAAGCCATTGCAGGTACTTTGAAGATCTTGAAGTCTTTTGAAGGCGACTTGAAGCTATTGTAGGTATTTTGAAGGTTTTGAAGGCAACTTGAAGCCATTGCAGGTACTTTGATGCTTTGCAGAGTTGATTGTTTCGAAGCTTGACGTTCGCTGTTGAAGATCACGCCAATTGAATCCCGGAAGCTACGCCATTTAAATCCCGGAGGCACGCGCTACTTGAATCCCGGAGGCTACGCTACTAGAATCCTGGAGGCACTTCAGTAGATAACGTTAGTGAAGAATCAGAGGACCATACAAAGATTTTGTACCTGCACCTTGAATTATACATACACTGTAAACGAATTTTGTGAAATATATAGAAAGTTTATTTTTTGTGTTTATAGCTTCATTGGAACTACCGTGGGATAGGTAACTCATGAACAGTTATTGAGCTTCTGGACCTAGTGTCCATATATTTACCCAAGTTCTTTTCTTATGGAAAAACTGGTTGGTCACGATTGTGCTGAGAGGGTTCAAGTTAAAATGGGATTTGATGTTCTCTTCTACGTTGACAGAGTGGGTAGGAGTGGACGCTTAACTTTCTTCTGAAAGTAAAGGAATACAATGAGTCTTATTAGCTTCTCCCGAAATCACATTGATGTTGAAGTTACTCTCTAGGGTTCACCATCTTAGAGGTTAACAGGATATTATATGGTTTCTCGGAGAAAAGTAGAAGACAAGAATCCTAGAACTTATTAAGAGCGTTGAAGGAAAAGTCTCCGTTGCCGTGGGTAAGCGTAGGTGACTTCAATGATTTAATGAAACAAGCAGAGAAACAGTGATCCCATCCACATTCGGGACAACTGATTTTGGGTTTCATTGATGCTCTTCACGACTATAATCTAAGAGACTCGGAGACGTATGGCTACCCTTTCACCTTGAAAAGGGGATGTGGCACTTCGGCTTTTGTGGAAGACCGCTTAGACCGTGCGGTGGCCACATATACATGGCGGTCAATGCATGGCAGTGCCAAAGCCCATAATCTCAATGTGGTCCAGTCATACCATCACAAGGGTAGGACATGCAGTCATAGATTTTTGTTTGAAAATGCCTGGTTGTTGGATGAGGGGTATGTTGAGGTTAAATCAAATGCATATGATCAATGTTCAAGTTTGAAATTTCAAGACCGATTGTAGTCTTGTGGTGTATCTCTGCAACATTTGGAAGGAGAGAGTTTTGCGGGATTTGGGAAGGACATCTAGGTTTTTAGGAAGACCCTAGGGTAAGACAGATGAAAATTCCACGACACTATACCAGGCCACCCATGACATGCTACAAGGTTTGCTCGACCAAGAACTTTTCTGGAAACAAAGAGCCAAAACCCACTAGTTGAGAGAGGGCGATGCAAACACTCGTTTCTTCCATATGCTATGGACCCGTGTTCTCCATGTGCATGGGGAACAAGCTATACATTTATAATTTCTAGAGATAAAGTCAAATAGGCCTATGTCCAAAAGTAGACCCTTCATTTATAAAAAATTCCAATTGAACCCTTTAACTCATCAAATTAGTGAAATATACCTTTTTACCTGTAACCTTAGGTTAATATTGCCACATGGACTAAAAATAAAAATAAAATAAAAACTTACCTGAAACTCACGCCGGAGACCACTCCATTTCTCCAGCAGTCTAAGTAGCACCAACCCAAGGACCATTTTGGATGGCCAAAGACAGAAGAAGAAGATGGAGTCTCCAATTGCGACGGCGGCCGGAGCTAGAGTTCAGAAATGGGGGCAGTCGAACTGGGCCCTGACCGGCAGAGCTTGTAGCCTCGGATAAGCGGAGACGAATACCACCATCCTTCTCTTTGTTCGCCGCCTCCATACGCCAGAAAGTCATGAAAAAAATCTATCAAAATATGCAAATACACGCAAGAGCCAATTTTCTAAAATTTGAAAAATTTAAAGCTTTCCTATTAGAGCAATTGTAAATATTCACAAAGGATGTTCTCAACACAGTGATCATAGGACGGCGGCCATTTACAGTTGCTCCAATAAAAAAGCTTTAAAATTTTCAAATTTTAGAAAATTGGTCCTTGTGTGTATTTGCATATTTTGACGATTTTTTTCGTGACTTTCTCTGGCATATGGAGGCGGCGAACAAAGAGAAGGATGGTGGCCTTGGTCTTGGCTTATCCGCGGCTAGAAAGCTCTGCCGGTCAGAGCCCAGATCGACTGCCCCATTTATGAAATCTAGCTCCGGCGGCCGTCGCAGTTGGCTCCATCGTCTTCTTTTGTCTCCAGCCATCAATGATGGCTCTTGGGTTGGTGCTGCTCAGACTGCTGGAGCAGTGGAGCAGTCTCCGACGTGAGTTTCAGGGAAGTTTTTATTTTATTTCATTTTATTTTTATTTTTAGTCCACGTGGCAACATTAACCTGAAGGTTACATGTAAAATGGGTAAATTGCACTAATTTGATGAGTTAAAGGGTTCAATTGAAGCTTTTTAGAGATTGAGAGTCTAATTGCTCTTTTAG